GTAACTCAGATCATCGATACATCCACTTCACACTAACACTTGAAGCCAGCATTAATATCCTCCAGAGATTCAAACTACCGGGCGGAAAGATACGACGACTGAAGAATGCCTTTCAGGAGCTGCTCATCAGAGAAGAAGACATACTAGAAGAGCTTACCAACCCCCAAGAACTGGATGATTACACAGACCACATTCTGTCATTACTCAGACAAATATGTCAGCAGATCCTCCCTACAAGGACCGCCAAAAAACTCCAAGGCATATCCTGGTGGACGGGAAGAAGAGACAGAGGTGCAGAGCTCTGCGCCGCCGCCTCAGATCTGCTACCAACGAAATTGTAGCTTCCAACATCCTTACGGCCTTTCGGCAAGAAAGGGCCGCCTACAAGAAAGCAATTCTTGAAGCTAAAATTAACAGCTGGAGATCTTTCTGCACCAGTAACAGTAATCCATATGGAATTTTACACAAACTGGCAACGCAGAAGATCTTCCAACCAGCGCAAGTACCAGTTCAAACCAACAGCACCACATACTATGGACGTAGCGGCCTCCACCGCCAAGGAACTTTTAAATGCTATCTTTCCCACAGATGATACACAAGCAGATACTTCAGAACAGAGGCAAATTAGAGAAGATACAAGCTCGCCATGCACACCGAACGATATACAGTTTTCTGCACAGGAGATACGTAATATCTTCCGGTATCTGCCACTAAAAAAGGCCCCGGGTCCAGACGGACTCGATTACGCAATTATCAAAGTTGCATATCAGGCACGACCATCCTACTTCCATAAATACTACAACCAGCTTCTGCATTATAAAATATTCCCCACAGCTTTCAAAAAAGGCAATGTGGTATTATTTTTAAAAAAGGATAAAGACCCCCTAGTATCGAGTTCCTTTAGGCCAATTTGCCTTCTGTCGGCGATGGGAAAGATTTACGAGAAGCTCATCGTCAACAGGCTAAAATTTCATCTACATCAATACCAAAGCATTAGCCCAAGACAATTTGGCTTCAAACAAGGCAGTTCTACCATTCATGCCCTGCAGCGAATCCATGAAGTCATAATTCAGAACAAATCGCAGGGCTACCAGACGGCTTTTATATCGATAGATTTGCAAAGTGCGTTCGATACCCTCTGGTGGCCTGCCATCAGGCAGGCCCTCAGAGAGGCAAGATGCCCAAGAAATATCTTTCAAGTTCTGGACAACTATCTGGCAGACCGGCAACTGATGATCTCTAACAACAGTAGTACTGTTTCAATAACACAAGTGAGAGGATGTCCACAGGGGTCCTGTGCAGGGCCTCTGCTATGGAACCTCACCTTTAATAAAGTCTTAGAGGCAAGGTGGCCACAACATACTGTGTTAGTTGCATACGCGGACGACGCGGCATTACTGGTCAGAGGCCGCACACGCGCTGAGCTTGAAGCCCATGGCAGTGAGTCATGCACTATCTTTGCCAACCTCTGCGAAGAGCTAAAACTCAAAATATCCACCACAAAGTCCACTGCTATCATCTTTCCAAGAAAGGGTACAAATCCAACACGTAGCCCATGTATCAAACTACAAGGCCGGAATATTAAAGTCGTAAAAACTTTAAGATACCTTGGGGTAATATGGGACCCAGGTCTGACTTGGCTTCCGCATATCCAGGCACAAAAGATTAAAACATCTGCAATTGCCAGGAGATCACGACAATTCCAAGGCCGGAACTGGGGACGGAATCCCCACATTCAAAAGGTACTTTATAAAACTGTAGCTGAGAAGGTGGCACTCTATGCGGCAGCTATATGGGCACAACCCATGACCGCACGCAAGGTTAAGCAACTCCTATCACTACAGCGCCCATTCGCCATAGGCTTATGCAGAGCCTACCGCACCACTGCAACTTATGCAGCACTCACCTTGGCAGGCATCATACCACTTCATATCCAAGCGGAGCTAGAGGCCACATATACTAAAATAATACATCTACAGAAAGACGCAACCTTTGCAGGCACCTTACATAGCCCTGCAAATTACGAACATCCATGTACTCCTCTCCACACGCACCCAGCACACAAGGGACTTGGCATTCACACTGTCCTCAAACCGTCACGAAGTCAACCAGAAGGAAACCCTAATATGCACGCGTTCTACACAGATGGCTCGAAAACTGCTGAGGGTGTAGGTAGTGCCTTTATATACTACAGGCAAGGCCATGCTGCACACCATTGGAAAGGGCACCTCAATCCAAATAATAGCATTTTTCAAGCAGAAGTAGTTGCCATAACAGCTGCCATTGAATACGTGGCGCTCAACAACATCACACATGTGCAGCTTTATACAGACAGTATGTCGACACTGCTTGCTCTTGACAAACATAGTCACGCCTCCCCGCTGATCATACGACTGCAGCATATCCTAAAAGATAATCGGCACGCACATGTTGACCTAGTATGGATTAAAGCCCATGCAGGTAACATGGGTAATGAGACAGCGGATGAACTCGCTAAAGAGGCTGCTTCGAACCAAAATGCCAGACCGATATCAGTATCAGCACCACCATCTTTCCTCAAAAGTCAACTGCGAAATGCCGCTATCCAGTGGTGGCAAAGAGAATGGGATCAGGGCGACACGGGAAGGAGAGCGCATAGCTTCTTGCCAAAAGTAACCACGGAGCGCCTTATGGCAATTGCTCCCCTTACCAACTTCATTACTGGTCATGGTCCCTTCCCGGATTACTTCTACCGCCGCACCATCTCAACCACGGATCGCTGTGTTTGCGGGGGTGAGGGGTCACCGGACCATTATATCTTTCAGTGCCCACTCACGGAACAGTTCCACTTCCCGATACCAGCCAATATCTCAGCATTTCACAAGTTCCTAGCCAAAAACAGAGCGGCCATAAATAAAATCTGCAAAATAATAACCACCATTGCAGCATATGGCCAGGACCTCTGTCAACCAGAGTAATATGGGCTTACATGCATTACTTGCACTGACATATGCACTCTAATGCTCTACCATCTAATCTCTGACTGCATAGGGAGCAGAAGAAAATTGAACACCATTTTTAGGTGTTTAATTTTCTTCTTTTGTTATAACCTATTAAGTTTTTTTTTTTTTTTTAAAAACCGTGCCTGTATGTTAATTCAAATGTACTTCAAATGCCAGATGTCAAACAGTTGCCCCTGTATGGCCATGTATCCACACTTATAACTATTAAATAAACTCCAGGGGAGGACGCGGGACATATGCCTGTTAACCTCTGTTAAACTTCAGGCGTCCCCGTCCTCCGTCACCTGTCACCTGCATATCCTTTATAAAATCTGAATTTAATTTAAAAAATAAAAATTTTACTTTTTAGTAATGTTTAATTTTTTTTTTTTTTTTTTTTTTTTTTTTTTTTCGAGTCCCAAGAGCTCAATTTTATATTTATTTTTTATAATCAAAACAAATTACTACTAAGAGGTCATAATTATTGTTCTTATCCTGAACATACAGGTAAATAAATAATCGTATTTCAATTAGTTAACTAAGAAGACTTTTTCTTTTCTCTAAACAAAACAAAACTGGATTGTGTCTGCATCATCCTTCTAACTTTTTATTATGCATTATGTTAGTATGTTCTAAGTAGCAACAGCTAGACAGGAACAATCATTTCCTAAAGATTATTTTGATCACATATCTGCAGGTTCTTTCACTTTCCTGTCAGTTGCATCGTTATTATTACGCATGCTTTTAACTTGGTTTCAAAATTCGGTACATGAATTCGCAGTACAGTGTTTCGCAATATTAATTTTCAATATTGTATAAGGTATTTCTCGCGCCTTCTTAGCATGCGTTCGTGGTGTAGTGGTCAGCAAGCTCGGAGCGTATTCGAGAGGTACGAGGTTCAAATCCCGGCGAGGGAATTGCTCATTTTTCACGTCTCTTGCTCTAAAAAAATTCCTAATGTCTCTACAGTGGCGCCCTAACTAAAAAAAGGTTCTGGATGATAATTCTCCAAAATCAGGATTTGGCGAATGGGTCCCCTAATCCCCAAGCGCCCTTTAAAAGGGGGAGTATATAAGGTATTTCTCCCGCCCTTCTTAGCATGCCTTTGTGGTGTAGTGGTCAGGACGCCCGGCACGTATTCGAGAGGTCCGAGGTTCGAGTCCCAGCGAAGGATTGCCCATTTTTTATCTCTCCTGCTTCGAAATAACCTAATGTCTCTACAATGGAAACACTCGTTGTCTAGCAATAATAGTTTCTTTGAGAACATGCCAGTGTTAAGGCCCTAGTTACTTCCCCTGCTCAGTTGAACCTTGAACTTTTGAGCTCCTCTCGCTCTATTAAAAACAGTCCTAGGTATCATGCATACAGACCATTGTTAAATAAAACTGCCAAGGTTTAAATAGCTGATATGCCATTGAGTTGATACATTAATGTCTTCCTGAAGGTCGCTTATAATGAATGCAGTGGAATTCAATATACAAGGTTGTAACTAATGAAATTCCGTATCTTTATCTTTATGCATGATTTTGTTTTGGTCAACAAGATTTTTGTTTTTAGGATCCATTTATGGAGTGCTCCGGGATCTATGTATGGAGTGTACGGTTTTCAGGAGTTCGAAGCATGGAGTTCGAATTAAATTGAAAAGAAGAAACATCTCCATCGTCTGTATGAGTTCATCAATGTTCTCAGTGCTGCAGAGACTTATAGATAAATTTGTGTCGCATACGGAGAGCATACTGCTGAAAAGACGAACCGAAAGTAGACTGACAGGTTTACGAACAATGCCGAGAATACATCAAGGATGTGGATCAAGGATGTGGTTTCTTTAATTATGGTTGCAATAAATGTACACAGTTCCAGAAAACAACATAATAACATAATCTTAAGTATTAATCCAATATCACCGCAGTGGATCAGCTAGCTCACTGATTCCGCAAAGTGAACACATATTTTAATATGCATAACTTGTATGAAATACAAAAAATAAGAAAAATTCGAATTTTATATTTCATAAACTACCTCCATCCTCAAGAGTTTCTATAGACTTCTCAAAGCGTTTCTCCATACTTCTTGTGTAAAATGTTAACAGCCCGGTCCGACTGAGCGATACATAATGGCCGGATAGATCATGAGGTACATCTTGCAGCTCTGGGAACAATGTCCATTCTACAACAGCATCCTGGCACCTCACTGCGGAATATGTTGTTGGAGTTGGTTCAAATGGTCCATCCTCTAAAAAAGAAATCAGACAGTTTGATATCAGACAAGATTTGCTTAATTAGGGATATGAAATGAATTTTGTTACCGTAGAAGACAGCTTGTACATAATAGTTGAAACCGCATTGGGAATGGTTTGGTATTGAATTAATTAGATTACAGAGAGGCCCTCGTGCATGACTGTCCAAGAAATATGGCCCATATTCACGTTGCAGATGTGAAGAACAGCCATACAGTCAACGTTTTCACGGGATTAAACTCGAACTAGAACTACCAGTCATTACTAGTCCTTTGCGCTGATATGCTGATGGGCAGTTGTTTGACATTTATTTTATTTATAAAGCTATATTAAAAGATTTATTCTGACTGCCTAGCTAAATATTTTGCATAGCATAACTCTCCAAACACATTCCCACTTTTCGTTACACCTATACCAGAATTACACAGTCTATCAACACAAAGTTCCTCTACTTGCACCTAACAGACTTAAGAACTAATTATATAGTTCTTTTCTGCATTTAAACGTAAATCAGGAATGCTTTAATAGAAATATTGATTATTTTAGAAGTCTGATGATTATCAGAAGGCATTCGAAAGCTATTTGAAGAGTTGGGCCTAGCAACGGCCCAGCGGTAAATTCGCTGAACATTGGTAATTCGATCGAATCCCGGTGAACGGGCAGGGTGCATGGGCGTTTTCGTGATTTGCCTCATGTGTAAAGCCAGTTTCCATTTCCTCCCCAAAGTGATCCCTCCCCTTAGGCAGAAAACCTTGTTGTGCTCAGCCGTTATCAAAAGAACCAAACCATTGACAGAGTTGGAATAAAAATGAACGTTTTCTAATTTGTTGTTTTAAAAGAAATGTTAATGTTTCGGAGACTCTTCAGAATATAGAGGAAATACAGATAGAGTAGGAGGTTTCTTTAAAGTACTTGCAAAGCAAGTAACTGAAGAGTCATATGTTATTAAAGGTCGTCAATATTTGTGCGTTTTACGGGCGTAAAATTTCTCTGGGTCAAGAAATGTGATAAATCCCTAAATACGACTTGCTTCTTTTAATTTTATTATACACTATGTAGCTTATAAATTATAAAAAAAGACAGTGTTAAATTTACTAAACATTAGTAGTTTTACTCCCCTTCAAATCACTGCGAACAAGCTGCCTGTATGGGATTTCGCATCGTTTTCCCCCTTGTGGATATGAGCCAGTTTCCTAAAAAATGTTCTCCACAAATGCATTCCTAAAATGTCAGGGGCATGCCAAATTTGGTGGTTTCGCTCTTAGAAAATAATTTTAATTTGTTAACCTGACCTGCCTCTGCCCCGTGTTTGTGCAACTTTCTGATGCTTTCGAAACGAAAAGAGATCGCTCTATATATGCCCTATAATATAATATATATCATGTTTAATGTATCATGTAATCCTTATTCATTCAAAGTTGTGTTTTTAACAATGAACAATGCTATATATAAATCTAATATATTGTTGCGCGCCTAAACGGGTTCGTAATAGATTGAATGTACACAAGTCCGATGATAGGTTAATAAAGTTTATTTTTATCAAATGAAACATTTGAAAGTTCTGGAATTTTTCACAGAAATACTCGTACAGGCGTTCAGACTGTCACAGAGTACAATCAGTAGTTGCACTTCAAACTATTAACAACGTTAGACACAACGCAATGTAAAGCGCAACTAAGAAGAAAGTTAACCCGGAGATATCTCAGTTCATGCTATACTAACAACTCGCAACAACGATAACTACAACAACTAAGAGCAGATTACAGATTACGAATCATCACTTTGCTACTAGCTTCAACTCTACTGTGAGTTTTTACTATTTGATTTAGTTTATTGCACTACATGGTTGTTTTTTGAATTATGATGCAATCGCACCTCACAACCAGTGGCGTAGCTAGGGTGGGGCAAGAGGGGACATCTGTCCCCGGGCGCAGTATCGAGGGGCGCCAAATTGATGCTACGAAATTTTTTTATGAAAATGTTTTCCATTCTTGGTACACAGAAAGGGGCGCAAATTCTTCAGTTGTCCCCGGGCGCTGGAAACTCTAGCTACGCTCCTGCTCACAACCAGAGGCTGCGCTGTTATTTTAGCAAAGTCAAGAGTTCAAAACTAAGTTCGTAAATTCACAAAGTTCTTATCAGAGAGTGAATTGAGCACTGAGATCTTAAAGTCTTGATATTTAGTCTCTAATTCATATATACACTATTAACACAGTCTTTTAGAAAATTTTTGAGAGTTCGTCTGGTTTCAAACTCGCAACCTCATGTAGTCAGTGGCAAGGACTTATCCCGCTCGGCTATCGCGCGCTAGTAAGAGCAGATGCTCTCTCTCCGGCTTTAGATAGTTTTCAGCAGGCCGCCGAGATATTTCTAGTACTTTCTGCTTCTCGAAATTACTGGAAGACAAAACGAGGGTCGAATTACGGTTACAGCTAACATAGTGGTCAATTACATTTATTCAGTTACAATACATATTACGGTGATGCAGAGACCAGCCCAAAATGTCGCCAAATAATCTCCACGTTTGGCGTCTTTTGACAATTTTACGCCAGATTTGGTGACAAAATAATAAGTCGCCAAACCCGTTGCCAGCGTGGCGATATCTCGCATAATTACGCAGCGTTAAATGAACTTGCCCTAGTATTCTTACTTTTCCGGCATAAATTGACTCTTTTAGATTTTTCTTATATTACATTACACAGAAAAATACAACAGTTTCACATATAATTTCAGTAAAGTCTGCTATCTATGTACAAAATCCGTAACAATATATCCTAAGTCACACTTTCGACACATTAAAAGCAAAGTTAAATTTCGTCAATCGGCCCAGTAGAACGGAAGATATAAAACCATCCCGTTTATTCTTTGTGAAAGGTGTACGCATATATGATTAAAGAAATATGTCCAGCATTAAATAACTATGAATAAGTAAAAGAATATTTCCTAGATCTGAAAATTAATTTCAAATTCTTACAATAAACTTATTTCGACTTGTTTTTTTCCATAATTCCTCTTTAAAAAACTTTAAAAACAAATTTCGGTGCATTATTTTTATGGGTGCTACTGATTAGTTTTATATTCACTTATATTGAAGTCTATATAAAACAAGGTAGCTAAAGACAACTACTAATATATGAGCATTATTCTTTCCACCTCATAGCACTAAAAGTCCCCTCACCCCAGGCACAGAGGTTCAACCCCTGTATTCTCACCTTGGAGAAAGGAATGCATCGCTTATGCGACACCGATCGTTGTCTATGATTTGCTACCTGCCAGTCGCTCGGGCTGCCCGTCGCAGAGGGACATTACCCAGCAAACCCGGGGCGCTATCCCCCCGGGCTACTAGAGCCACCTGCTCTAGGACATGCCAGGCCTACGGGCCGGCTAATAAGTGACCTTTCTGGGGCCTCCAACCACTAGTTTCGTAATTTGTATAGTGCTGTGGCCGAGACTGCCTAGGTACAGATCCTAGCCAATAGCTTCGCAGAGTTCTCTACGTCGACCACCGGGGAGGGCTAGCTCCAGACAAACTGAACCCAAAGCAAGTAAAGACATATAAACTGTGAAAGCGATATTATATCGATTGGCACAAGCCCCAAGATAAACAAAACCGGTCATACGGTATTTTGGGGTTAAGTATATCTTGTCCCACCCGGCATTTTCATTAATATTATTTCATTTGTTACATGATTCTCTTAATGTAATATAACGTACCAGTTACAAATACAAAAATCTTAGTCATATGGAAATTCTGTACTGTTGTTTGTATGAAATACTACTTATCTTCTTGTTATTAATATAAAATGTAAGGCAATTTATCATAAACTCGACAAAAGTCGTTTTAAGAATTTCATGCAGCTCGGACACGCAGCGCAAAGTTTATTATGTCGTTACAGATTTAAGATCAATAGAAAATCCTTTTTTAGATTTTTTGCGGTGATGAAAGAAAATTAATATTCTTTTACTGGTATTAAATTTTATAAAATGTATAACTATATTTAAGTGTGCAGTTAAGCAAAAAAATATCTTTCCTTCAGCAATAGCAACAATCTTCTGTTTACATAAACATGGCAACAACATTGGCAGCAGATTTGAAAAAAAAAAAAAAAAAAAGCTGCACTGACGATATACGTATTTTAAAAATTGACCAAAAAGATATTTATGACCATTGTTTAAATTAATTTTAGCTGATATTTGAAAGATGAAAACTTACGTTGCAGTAACCGAACTTCTTCGTAATATTCAAGATATTTATTTATGTTTTCAAGCGTAACGCTATCCCGAGAGTAGCGGTCGATTTGGAAAAATAACTTCTTAACTTCATTTTCTGGTACATTCAGTTGCAACTTTGTTTTCAGTAGCGCACTGAAGGTTACAAAATCTATCCTTTTAGCCGTATCAGTTGAAGAAAAAGCTTCCTGTAATTCATCACTGCTTTTTTGTCGTAACAGTTCCAAAACTGGTTGAAATTTCTTCATCCCGAAAATTTCCTTACGTTCAGAAAAGCTTACGGTAGGAAACAGAAGTTGAAATATTACGCCGATATGAATATGTTTTAAAGCGTGATATAATTTAGCGATTCCTTAGCGCGAGTTATCAGTGTTTACATAGCTCGATATCCATGCTGATTTCAGACCTTAATTTCTCTAGGCGTATAGTCAAGAAGATAGTCATAATTTATGCAAAACTGATGCAGTCATATGTATATTAGCTGTATACTACTCGAGCTTTCGAGAAGATGAGCTACAAATGAAAGAGGTTGAAAACTAGATGAATTAGAACTAATTATCTCTTAATCATTTTTAGCTATTTTTCAATAATTAAACTAACACATAAATAAAGTTGCATTAATAATACTAATGAAGAGAAAATACTGATGATTTTTTTTTTTTTTTTTTTTTTTTTTAAGTTACAATAACATCCATCAGACCTGGAGGAAACCAGATTAAACTAAAAAATACTACAGTGGTTTTCACGAGTTGATCAAAAATGCATCTAAATCATTCTAAGAATTTCAATAAAATACAACTAAAAAAAGTTTTTACGCATTAAGCCTATATTTAAAACAAATAGGATAACTAAGATAACTAATAGACTAAAGGGAGAAAAATAATTTATCGTTTACTTTAATGGGATTATTAGATTGAATAATAAATTCTGTTTACAGAATTCATCTTCAGTTTTAGATCGCGAATAATAAAAGCGTGGGGCGTCGAAATAACGAAATCAAGTAATTTAATTACATTGTCAAATATATAAGCTAATTTTTTTTTAATTTACCATGGGTGCCCATGAATTCTGTAGGTAGAATTATGTTAACTATTATTCTCACTAAACTATATGAGAAATTATGTTTGAGATACGAACGTTTATTATTTTTGAAACCTTACTTTTAAATATTAAATAAAAAATCTAAATCGAATTTTGAAAATAATCGCTTTATCACACTGTATTTTCAGCGAAGAATTATGTGTGTGAGTAGAAAATTTGAATTTGAGAGATTATCAAGAAATAGGTTAAAAAATAGGTGATAAATTTCCACTCACATTGAAACACCATGAGTGAACTAAAAAATCTTCTAATATCTTAAACTTTAAACTTATTATCCCTCTTGTTAATAAACACCTACCCTACTTTTCTTGTGATAGGCAGACTATGAGCAGCAGTGGTTATGGTTAAATCCTAACCATAACAGGCCTTTTGACGACATAACAGTTTGGACCGTTTAAATAACAGCAGCCGTAGTAATAATAAGGTAAAACTTTTGAAGTGTTCTAAAAATTTCTAATCATGTCAATATCTTACTACAATTAATATCGAATAATATCTGTACAAAACGTATATAGTATCTTTGCCATCCTCTTTCTTTAAAAAAAAATTAAATACCTCTTCTTAATCACGTAACGAAAACAATCTTTGAATTAAGCAAATATCAATTCTACACTTATGCATTTTCTTTGCCTACGGTAAGAGTTTAAATGTTTTTCTTCTTGATTGTTGTGAATGCTTACAAATCTCTAAAAACCCGAATATAGTAACACCTGCGACGGTAAACCTGCAAAAATTAATTTAATGAGAAATCAGTCATTCTGGATAAATGCCAACGCATATGACCATTACTTTATAAGTCCCCAAGGATTGCCCGCCGGTGGTCGAGAAATGAAACAGCTAAACGTTGGTAGTCCGATCCTGCCTCAAATTCTGGTGAATGGGACTGTTATGATATAGTTTTCATGGTTTTCCATATGCGTAAAGTGAATATGGGCCAGTTTCCTTTAACAATCTCTACACGAAGGCAGTCCTTCCCTTCAGCAGGTTTTGCATTATCAAAACAAACAAAACCAGAATCATAGTTTTAATTGATTGGAAAGAATCGCTGGTGTTGCTTGCGTCTTTATATTCTTAAATTCATTTATTATAGTAAGAAATATGAAACGACATGTCTAAAGAGTAGTGAACATCGCTACAGTGCTGCTAAACCTATAGAAATGTTTACAGTTTTATCTGAACAGAAAGAAACTCTTTTTATAATAATGGTACACCAGATTATTCTTAAAATTATAAAAAATGCATTACAGCAATTACTGCTATGATTTACTTGCAAAATCCACTAAAACAGCTCCGAAACAGATTTGGTGAAAATTATTCACTTGTCAAGAAATAAGAAAATACTACCGGACTAGCCCGCCAGATGAGCAGACTGAGGCTAAAGCAAAATTTATAAGTTCTATGTAAATCTGAAAAGAAAATGTATAAAATCATTTCAATATGAAATGTTTCAGCTTTATTTTGGCTTGATTAACAATTTTGGGACATACAAAATGGGGGAGTTGTACCAATGTTGTCGTACAGACACTCTGTGACTTACTCTGTATACTGCTGTTTAACTCGGAACCCTCGATCATCATGAGGAAAGAAAATTACATACATCATCGGTTCAAAGTTAGTATTTAAAGTACCTGTAACAACATCTTCGCCCTTGATATACATATAGATACAGTAGCTTCAGACCGAGGTTGTATATCAAAAATTGACCGAGATATTTGATAATTAAATCGAGAATCATATTCAGGGTCCGTATAAATAGTAAAAGAATTTACATTTGTAAATAACTAAAATAAAATATCGTTTAGAAGAGGGCTTCTGATATTAACAGAAAATGAATGAAAAGAATTTCTGTCAAGATTGTTCCACGAATAATCTATGTAAAAACAACAAAACAATACTCAAGTAGTCAAAGTTATCGCATAAAAACTTAATGTAAAAGTTACAGAACGAGATAACTTCAAAATCAAAAAGGGATCATTGCATGATATTTAGGAGAAAGAAAATCAAACTTATCGATCCTTCAATGCAAATTGAATAAGACATCAAAATTCGCAGATTTTAAAATTAAATATCTCCGTTAAATTTTGTTTTACGGAAGTCAATCCTTTTGCGTTTTATTTTTTATAAAGAACACAAAATTTTTCTAATATAAGTATAGGGACCGAAGGAAATTATAAAACGTTAAACTTCGTAATGTTTACTAAATTATTGTCTTTAAATTTAAAAGTGTCATAACACGAATTTTTGTGTCATTTACAATATTTTTATTTCTAGAAGTATGTGTCTGTGAACAACGGTTGTGAAAATGAAGCCCGGGTAAGGACATCTGTGGATGTGGTGTACATGCACTGGGAAGAAAAATTAAAAGGTCAACTATAAAAAGGTGCTTCATGTTTATTGTATTAAGTGAATTCCAAAAGGATTCACCTTCGCTGTACAGAAATTTGAAAATTTCTACACCCGTTCTTTCGGTAAGAGAAAAATGTGCAAAGGAGTAATTTCAGATTTAGCTTTTAGTTACATGAATTGCACAAGTACGTAGTTAGGTGAAAGTTTCACGTATAGAAAGTAAAAAAGTAAAACATGCCGTAATAAGCTATTAGTTACATTAAGAGAGTGGAAGAACGATTAAAATAGCTTAGGATAATAGTCGTATTCCTAAAATCATTTAGACGTGATTCACTTATGACTGTGTGTGCCCCCCCCCAAATTATATAATGTTTAATAAATTGTTTGTTTCATTTTTCATTAAATTTATTAATGAATTTAATAAAAAGTTTTTCTCTAGTTCCTTAACTATTGCATTTTTCAATAAAATAAATTGCTCTTCCAACAAATGTATATGTCGGGCTGTCAAATTACCTATATCTTTCTAATATACAAATTTAATCGATGTTTTAATTTAGAAAAACTTCTTCTTTAAAAGCGGAAAACTTTGATGTAAGTTGCGATGAATTAACTGTTTCTAAAGTACTTTCTTCTTATCCAGAAAAAGTAGCGAGTATTTAAGTAGATTCTCAGGTACTTCAAAACCCTTTCCCGTTTTTGTTTTTCACACATAAAATCCAGATTATTTCTGCTAATACGTAAGGTAGTAAATTAATTTGTTGCTACCCATTAAACAGCTATCCACTGTTTCCTGCAAAGATAAAAGTGCTGTTATTTTTATATATATCCCCATTACAGCCTACAGAGTTAGTTTTACGCTTAAATGTGAAGTATATAAATAGGAACTCGCACCTGTGCTTTAGCCGAGTTACCTCTACAGCAGGGTTATAGGCGCTACAACACCAGGATTGTAGATGTCCGAGCGGGACGCATGTGACCCTCGAAGAGATTTCATGTGTTTGTTGAAAATAAGGTGTTACAATGATTTTAAGATTTTAGTTATTTAACGTTCCAGTTTATATTATTTTCATTTCCATTAAAAACGAATTTGAACTAAGCGTCAGGAAATATATAATTATACTTAATTAATTTACAATATTATATAAATCTTATTCACAGATTTCAAGATACGTATTTCATTAGCTTTTCGTACTTGTGAAAAAATAAGTAAACTCAAATATGAAGTTTTGCACTAAAGTTAAACATTTTATTTGGGAATACATTTATATGCGAACAGCGTTATTTCACAGTTGAAAATTAATAAGAAAAGAACCCAATTGATCGAAAAGCATCTACAGTCTGCGATGAAGATAATTTATAGCAATTTCTCTCCAAGGCTCAACTTCTGAATTTGAAAATAAAAACATAAACGCCGTTAAGTGTCAAGCTTTAATAAGTTTATAATTATTTACATGAAACCACACATATTTTTATATGTGCGTCAAAGAAAAATTTAATAAATAAGGTAAAGAAATTAGGTTGTCATCATTTGTTCTCAAGTTTTATCCACGTAAAGCTTATCTGAAAACTCAGAAATTTTTCATTATTTGTTTATTTTTAGTTTAAATTAAATTAAATTATTTGATGATTAATTAATCAAATTGGAATTATTTGAAAGGAATGTCAGTCTAAGAATTTAATATTTAGCTGTCAGTGTATTTGAACTTCAATATGTGACCAACAAACATATTTTGCAAAAAGCAAACTTTAGATTTCAGATTGAAAGTAACTAGAGATTTGAGTTTTTTTTCCTTTTGCGATATGATTATTGATTTTTA